ATATAAAATCAGTTATAAGGTAACAACTGTTTGCCTATATATATCTATATATAAAATCAGTTATAAGGTAACAACTGTTTGCCTATATATATATATATATAATCAGTTATAAGGTAACAACTGTTTGCCTATATATATAAAACCAGTTATAAGGTAACAACTGTTTGCCTATATATAATATATATAAAATCAGTTATAAGGTAACAAGAGATCAAAACATTTTCTTGCTAGCTGTTTCACATGAAGAAGTTTCAAGAAAATATTTCAAGAGAGTTAAAAAGAGCTTATCCAGATCGCAGGAAACTGGAGAGTCAGTGCATCTCTACTGTGGCGTTTGTTAAAGATTCTGCTGAGCTCCTTGATTGTCCCTGCTGGATAATGATCATCAACATTGTAGCTTTGGATATGTTGAAGTCTAAACTGCCACCAAGTAAGTTATCTCTGATTGACTTCTAAGGTGCTGTACTTAGCTTCAATTTAGGAAGTCACTCATACTTCAACGTGGTTTTTGAGGTTAACGATTTGTACTAGAAATGTGAATTTATATATATGTGTCATGGCTCTGGTGTCTCAGAATCTTCTTTCTCGTTATATCACTCGGAATTAATTACCTTTTACATTTTACAGTGATTTTAATGGAACAAATTAACGATGCACAAAAGACTACTTATAGATGTCTATGTAATTACCATGGCTTTTACCATGGCTCAAAATTTACATTAGGTCAGATGTTTCTTTTGCACTTATGTTTGTTCAGGTAATAGAGCTTCATAGTGGACTTAGAAAGTTATATTCCTGCAAATGCGTTGGGAACGTGGGGTTCATCCTTCATTCTGTAGAAGAAACGTGTGTTGTAAGGGCTATCACAGTAACTGAATATTTTCTAAAAACGCTTATCAGCACAGACAAAAAAATAGTGTGCAAACACACTTTAGTTTTTGTTCCTACAGTTAGGTCAACTTGCAGTTATTTCAGAATATACCAGTTACTTTTTCATAAATATCCCACTAGGTAAGTACTTCTGTGGTATTCCACAATGAATATCTATGTACAAAACTCAAACGTCATAAAAGGGTGGGAAATAACTTGCACATTATTAGTGGAATACATATGGAACCGATGACGTTATTATGGGAATACACATAGAACTGAGTGCTCTATTATGGGAATACACATAGAACTGAGTGCGCTATTATGGGAATACACATAGAACTGAGAGCGCTATTATGGGAATACACATAGAACTGAGTGCGTTATTATGGGAATACACATAGAACTGAGTGCATTATTATGGGAATACACATAGAACTGAGAGCGCTATTATGGGAATACACATAGAACTGAGAGCGCTATTATGGGAATACACATAGAACTGAGAGCGCTATTGTGGGAATACACATAGAACTGAGAGCGCTATTATGGGAATACACATAGAACTGAGAGCGCTATTATGGGAATACACATAAAACTGAGCACATTATCATGGGAATACACTTGGAACTGAACACGTTATTATAAGAATAACATGGAACTGACATGATTACAAGCACTATGCTGATGCTGCTTAGCGATTGTACTAGTGACTGTTGTATATTTTTGTCAGTGACAGATTAATAAGGTGGGTTCTAAAAGTGTTAATAAATGTATTTCAGAACATCAGCTCCGAATTCCTTATCCAGTATACGAACAAGGTGAGCAATGAATTTTGTAAAGGATTGCATGACTCACGCGCGGGTCTGAACTTTAACCCGATTCTTTGCTCTTTTTCAGTCTGGTGGTTTTCTGTATGCACTCTACACTGAAATCTACTTCTTCCGAGATCTACTTCAAATATTCAAATGTTATAAAAATATAAAAGTTGATGAAAGAAATCCTTAATTATTAATGGCTAAGGCGTATTTTCTTATTCTTAGTGATTTCAACGTGTCTTATCATTTTGTAATCATATTTAAATTATTATTAAAGATGTCATGTTCGTTATGTTTCGTCATTTTAGGCTTAAAGATTTAGGCCTAATTATTCAGATTTTCAATTGCTCGGCGTAATAATATCATTTAAAAGGATTCGTTATATATAGGCTCTTGTAAATATGGATGTTGTCTCACATTTTTTTTCAAAATAAGCATTGTGAAAGAGGTTAAGTAGTGTAATAGAATAAACGTTGAAATTAATTCTGATGAACAAATTAATTTAAGAGGAAAATATAAAACGTTACACAAATTCCAGTCCGATAGAAACACAACTAATCTACCTTTTCTAAATCTTTCTTAATTTTTTTTCTAAATTTTCGGAGCTTCAACAACGTCATCGTTGGGATTAGTCAAGTTGAAAAAAAAAGACGAACATTAACACTAAAATTCACTAAAATCGTCTTTTAAAAAAATCGGATTTATTCGAAAGTATAGCAAAAGAACTTGAAACAAGGCTTAAGAAATATGCATGTGGAATTTAAAAAATTGGAATTCGTAAATTATGGCCAAACTACACTGCATATTTTTTATTTGATTCGAATTAACGAATTTCTTAAAATGTTTTATTTTCCAGTTTCCAAAAGGCGTAGCGCTCCCAGTTTAGCGAGTTTATTTGAAAGAGGTCGCCTCCAGGCTCCCGAAGAGAATCCTTATAGTATACCATCGAATATTATGAACAACGTATCACGTAACTACAACAGTTCACGCGAAAAACCTCCTAAGCTACCACCACGTGACCTGTTACACTTTGCAGTGCCTACAGTAAGTTGTAAATTTATGTAACGAGACTGATAGCACAGAACTGTAAACATTTGTGTAAAATAAATGTATCTTTTGCAAAGGTAAAGGCTTAGATTCCATCGCTTTATATGAGTTGTTATTTCATATAATGTCCCATCTAGCAAATCTAATGATTTTTCAAATTATTTTCGTGTTTCTAATCCACACTCCTTTGGATATTAGCCCGACTACGAAGACGACCATGACGAAAATAAAGCCAAACTGGCGCCATTACCGCAGAATGGCCGCAGCAGAAAGTCGAGCACCTACGGTAAGTGTGTTCGTTTTTTAAAGTTTAAGAATTATAGGGCATGGCATGGCCTAATGGTTAGCGTACCCCTATTGTGAATCTGAGTATTTGTGGTTTACTAAATGTTTTCACAAAAAAAAACAGGCTGCGTACGTTTGTTTCATGGCTGCACCATAAGTGTAACAGTCATCTCTCTCTCTCTCCTTTTTTTTCGGCCAGATAAGAGTAGCCCATGTATTTGGAGGTGGGTGGTCTTGACCAGCTGCCCTCTCGTTGGAATATCATTTAAACATTAGAGGCAACTTTGTGCTTGTAGCCCTTTGATAGTTTTGCACGAAAATCTCAAATAGTAATAACAACAACAACATAAAAAGTACATGTATGCCGAAGCACTAAGTTCATAAAGTAAACGAATTAAAAATAAACGAGTCTGTGCGTATTATTTCCTGCAACGTGTTAATGTTTTACATTCCACAGTAAAATACCCACAAAATCACTCTTGCGCGTGACATTTGCACAACAACAACAGTATCTGAAGGCCATTTAAAGAGAGCATATACGGTATTGACTTAAAAAATTTACTTAAATATTACACTAAATTAATGTCTTCGATAATTTATTTTACAAGAACCAGAAAGAACGATTAGAGCCTAGATATAATTGATCTGTGTCGCCACTCACAGTTAAGTATGTTTATAGCTGAATGTGATGCACAACCTGAACCGTGTCGCTACGTACAGTTAAGTATATTTGTAGCTGAATGTGATACACAACCTGAACCGTGTCGCTACGCAGAGTTAAGTATATTTGTAGCTGAATGTGATGCACAACCTGAACCGTGTCGCTACGTACAGTTAAGTATATTTGTAGCTGAATGTGATGCACAACCTGAACCGTGTCGCTACGTACAGTTAAGTATATTTGTAGCTGAATGTGATACACAACCTGAACCGTGTCTCTACACAGAGTTAAGTATATTTGTAGCTGAATATGATGCACAATCTGAACCGTGTCGCTACACAGAGTTGAGTATATTTGTAGCTGAATATGATGCACAATCTGAACCGTGTCGCTACACAGAGTTGAGTATATTTGTAGCTGAATGTGATGCACAATCTGAACCGTGTCGCCACACACAGTTATAATATTTGGAACTGAATGTCATGTCCCCACCCCAAGAAAAGCAAACAGTTACACTTTCGTCTAGATATCGAATTTTTGAAGCATTTAACGCAGATGTTATGCGTTCTTTAATTAATTAATAATATTTTTTGTTTTAGTACCATTTTAAAGAGAGTGGTTAATACAGAGATTCAAACCGTTTTTGTTTTTATTACTAACTGCCAAACTTGTACTCCCAAAACGTTTAGTGGTAGCTTCAGTGTCAGGCCTCCGCCAAGAACTTTGGTCACATGACTTCTGTATAAAATGCATACTGAACGTTTCATAACACACGCCACCCCACTTACAGCACTTAGAAACCCGTATTATTTTGGCCTCATTATAAAAGTCGATTTTTTTTTTCCTGAACGGGCGTGGCATTACTGCGTGGCAGAGGAGATAACCTTGCGTGCCATAGGTTCACAGTCTCTGGGTTAACATAAAAAAAAAGTAACTTATGAGATAAAAAATGTCTTTGTTTCTGTTGTAAAATATTTAGATACACTGTGATAAAATGTCTTATTTATTGGTCGTAATCCATTTTTCTTGTTTTTTTTCTGTACATCCTGCTATCTATAGTTGCCAGTAGCGTCTTACAGATACGAGTAAATTCCAATAACTGTGTATCAAAAAGTATTTTATTTGGAAGAACTTGAGAACAAAAATAATATTTGATATTTGTAGTGAAATGTCTTACCCTCTTACCCCTCGCGCTCCCCGGCTTAGCGGTAAATAATTGGACTTATAACGCTTACAATTGAGTTTCGATACCCGCGACGAGCAGAGTATGAACAGCCCGTTATGTAGCTTCACAACAAACAAACAATCTACAATTTAGAGTATAAAAATTATTATTATTATTGTTAGAACTTGCATAGTTTGGTTTCCCTTTTAGTTAATATTGTTAAATGTTAAACATTTCCAAAATAACATATAAATAACAGAGTATGAACAGCCCGTTATGCAGCTTCACAACAAACAAACAATCTACAATTTAGAGTATAAAAATTATTATTATTATTATTAGAACTTGCATAGTTTGGTTTCCCTTTCAGTTAATATTGTTAAATGTTAAACATTTCCAAAATAACATATATAAAATATATTGAAATGCGAAATTATTCGCAAGACGAATTAAAAATTATTCATCTTGACAAAGTATGTTTTGATCAATATTCTTCCCATTTCGTGGAACTTTTTAATTTTTAACTCTAACGAAAACGAAAACGTTTTGAGAAAATATTTATCTGATGAACTAGGCTTAATTATGTAGACTAACGGATAGAATCCTTTAAGATTTTTTTCCCCTTATCTTATGTCAATCGTTTCGAACCTGGAGACTATTTACTTGGCCCGGCATGGCCAAGTGGTTAGGGCGCTCGACTCGCCATTTGAGGGTCGTGGGTTCGAATCCCCGTCCCACCAAACATGCTCGCCTTTTCAGCCGTGGGGCGTTATAATGTGACGGTCAATCCCACTATTCGTTGGTAAAAGAGTAGCCCAAGAGTTGGCAGTGGATGGTATTGACTAGCTGCCTTCACTCTACTCTTTCACTGCTAAATTAAGGACGGCTGGCGCATATTTAGCCCTCGTGTAGCTTTGCGGAAAATTTCAAACAAACTAAACCATATTGTGATGTGTTTGATTTGAAAGTTAACCTTAAAAATTTCATCTTTCAGACGACCCTTACTACTGTGGATTCAAAGCCAGGGTGCCAAATTACTCGAAAAAAAGTGTGGAACCCATCAGAAAAACTCACAGTTCCAGTTACTTGAGCCTCCTCAGATCTCAGGAAAAAGCTACGTACCACATCAGTTTAGGTCAGCTTTCTTGAACTTTTCTATCGCTGATTTTAAACTCTCTGTTAACTTAGGACCTCTACAGGTATAACGAATAAAGCGAGATCTTCTTAAGTTATTTTATTTTACTACGTTTTTGATAACACCCAAAACTTTTTCATGTACAAGTAAGAGAACACCAGTTAAGTTGTGTTATACAACTGACTTGTAACAGACATAGTTATTATACAACTTACTTGTAACAGATATAGTTATTACACAACTGACTTGTAACAGACATAGTTATTATACAACTTACTTGTAACAGACATAGTTATTATACAATTGACTTGTAACAGACATAGTTATTATACAACTGACTGGTAACAAATATAGTTATTATACAACTGACTTGTAACAGACATAGTTATTATACAACTTACTTGTAACAGATATAGTTATTACACAACTGACTTGTAACAGACATAGTTATTACACAACTTACTCGTAACAGACATAGTTATTACACAACTTACTCGTAACAGACAGTTATTATGCCTTTTACGTGGTTTCGTAGAAAATACTCAATTCTTCACTGAGGTTTAATATGTACTCTTTGTTTATCTAAATTCGAATTAAAGCGCTTGGTTGACAAATGTTTCATCTTAAACACCTAAACTCGAGTTAAAGTGTTCTGTCGAGAAATGTTTCATCTTAAGCACCTAAACTCGAGTTAAAGTGCTCTGTTTTTAACTCGAGTTTAGGTGTTTAAGATGAAACATTTCTCGACAGAACACTTTAACTCGAGTTTAGGTGTTTAAGATGAAACATTTCTCGTGTTCTGTCGAGAAATGTTTCATCTTAAATGAAACGTTTAATGATACTTAATACAAGTGAAATCTCAGACTTAAGCTGTTTTTGCATCAGTTAAAGAAGATAGTATAATGTAAAAGAAGCTTAAAAGCCACGAGGCAAAGACTAAATCGAAACCATTTGATTCTGTAATTCAGCATGATTAAAACAAATCTGTTGTTATTCTCGACACCAAGCGATAAACAAAGCCAGTGTTATGGATACCAGCTACTAGTAATGTTTCTGTTTCAGAACTCTGTAACTTATATCCAATAGCTGTTGGGATAGTGTGATACTTCATTCTGTACGAGTGATCTTAAGAGTTGTAGTATTTTCGAGTAAAAATATTTTATGTATCTGTTTATTACGTGCACATATCTTGAGGGCTTTCACTTAAAGTTCAATAATGAAAAATAAGAAAGGCTGGAAATTAACGAATTACAAATAAAATCCGCCAAGTCCAGCTGTGTATAAAGTTGTCTTTCACGCACTTTCTGATAAACATATGTAAAAACACCAACGTTCTGTTTTTCAGGTTCGGACGGTCTAGGTTCTTACGAAGATGAGTATGCTCGAATCTATACACCACTACGTGGCCCAGCACACCATCATTACCCCCCTAGAGAACTGTACATGGGGAGATGGGAGTAATGTATCAGCTCACGTGAATAAGTGCTCAGTGACCAATTGAAATAAAAATAAATTAAAAGTGACTTATCGAGTAATGTTGGCCCACATATGTAAGCTCTCTAGGTCCTCTTTAACCAACCAACTGTATCTGTACAAGAAGATTTACGGTAGACCATTATTTTCCTTCCAGTGTGATTTGTGAGACTCACTTTTTTTTTATAAAGAGTTGTATGTTAGTTTCTTTCCTCAGACAAGTGATTCTATTTGTAGGTTTAACAATTTGTATGTTTAATGTTTTATATTTTGTTTTTTTTCCTGGGTAGAATT